CGTAAGAAGTCGTCGTCACTGAATCAGACAAATGCTCCTTGCAGTGAGATTGTATAATTATTGGTCCTTAGATCCTTCTCTAGGCAGCGAACGTATATATATATATATATATATATATATATATTATATATCTACTATATATATATATATATGTGTGTGTGTGTGTGTTGTGTGTGTATGTGTGTGTGTGTGTGTGTGTGTGTGTATGTGTGTATACATACATACATACATACCATGACAAGGAGTAGGGAAGAGCAAGCAGAATGTCAAAGCTTGCTGCCCGTTTTTTTTACTCCGAAATCCCGCGTTCATATGTACCGCGTACATCCACACCAAGTCATGATAGTTCACCAGTCCCCTTGACAAACTTCCAACTCCGTCCGAACTTCCGGTCCCACGGCACGCTAGTCACGCGACCTTGTACCGAGACCGAGGAAGCCAGTAGCCGAGTGGTGCCTTAAACGACATTCCGGAACGTGTCGTGACATTGACAGTATCACTGCGTTACCTCAAGAAGTTCAGAAACCACCATCTTTTGCTGGACGCCAAACAAACAAAACTTCATAAGACCTAAATGCAGACGTGTAAGCTTGTATTACAAGGAACCATGACTTCCAAAACAGAGGACATTTGCTACAGGTAGCACCTGAGCCGCGCGAGCCCGTCAGTCAGGCCATGCATCAACTAAGTCGTGAATTAATTAAATGCGTCAATGACATTGTCTGTCATCCCCTTAACTTCACTTAACAACCTATAAGAAATTCCATGTTTGGGTACTCCTCTGGTACTGATCTTCTAACCTTCCAAAGCAATGATACTATTACGCCCGCGCGCTGGAGGTCCGCTATCCGGCAGCTTTTATCGTTTAAATTTAACTCAAGAATACATTTGATGAAATTATGAGATGAGCCAGTGATGGTGTCCATGCCGTGACACATTTGGGAAAATCTGATGAGACGTCTCTCCCCTGCTGGCTGCATAGATCTCGGGACGGGCCCCGTGAATGGCGTTGTTTAACGACAAGCTCGGTACAGACATAAAGGTTTGGCGAGGGAACAGTGAAGAACAACGCGAAGTTGTTTCAGATATAATTAACATACTTAAGCAGTTCAGGAAATAGGCGGCGGGCTCCGAGATCCTGCCTGTTCTTCAGCTTCTTGTGGCCAAGCCCTCCACGGTTGTCTAGAGCAAAGAACACCAACAGAACCGGCTTTCATGCACCCATTTCAGGGAACCTTTATCCGGCTGAAGCACGCTGACGATTGTTTGTCTGTCTCCTTTGGCTTGGTGAAGAGAGCTCGTTCAGCCAGTTATGAACATCTCGCCGAGGAAGGTGAACGAGAGAAGTGAGAGGTGTAAATGAGAGGTGAACAGTCATCGTAAATGACCGTGGCAGATTGGTTGACAGTTACCTGTTACCAAATCGTTCTCGCAAGCGAGTCATAGATAATTAATCCATTGTCGGTCACTCGTAACTCATTTGGAATGCTGGGTACTTCTTCAGGAGCGGCAATGTCCGTGTGGCCGAGAGATAGGCAATGACTGACGAAAGTTATTGGCATCGTCTTTCTCCAGACAAGCTTAAATCGCCCTCAAAGCTCAATCCGATCACCCTGCCAACTGTGGTCGGAATAGATAACCAATGGCATGGAGGCAACGTAAAACCCGCTAAGCGCAAGCGTTCCTTGAAAAGACGTCAAACGTTGCGAAAACATGAGAAAAGCACCAAAGGGCTGATGAAATAACTTACATGAATTGTGATATTCAGGTGTTAACAGAGTAGTTTGCCAAAGCTGCATTTTCTTAAGAACTTCCCTACCCTTTAACGGTGCTTTTTCTTACTTTATCATTGACAGTGTACTATTCAAACTCAGCATGGCAAGACATGTAGCATGGTGGCCGTACAGCATTATCCGCCAGGCTTCTACAAGCAGTAACCACCATAAGTACTGTCATTAGTTACTTGTCAGCACTGCATAGGTTCCCATAGAAACTGAATACGTTAGACGTCGAGAAAATATTCATCATGACGGCCCATTTTATACATAAAAAGCCATGAAACCGGCTTGATGGACTGCAGTTTACACAGAATAGTGGTTCCCAGGACGTCACTTTCACCTTTAAATCAAGTCAGAATGCGTCGGTCAGAGAAGCCCGCGGGCTTCTGAGCTCTATTCGTGAGACGTAGATGCTAGTCTAGTGCTAGTCTTTATGAGATGGCGGCTGATGTTGCTCTAATCGCGCTGCTGATCTTAAGAAGGGAGGGTGTATATAAACGTCTTAGCGTATGGCATAAGACAAACGCTGCTAGCCAATGGGTGGCAATGGTATTACCCTGAATGTTCAGCCGCCTGATCGTGCTCAACGTGAGTAAGGGCTGCTTCACGGAGCTTGTAATGTGAAATGGGACGATGTGCGACGGCCGAAAATGTAATGTTTTTATAAGTTAAGAACGCTCTCGATTTCCGTGTTGCCTAAGCATGACTTGATCTAAAGCTGAGTGATTTGTCACCTGCTCGTACCTCTGGCGTCACCTCTCCCGGCGTCGGATGTGAGATGAACGGAGAGGTCGCCATCTGACAGCGACTAAGGCGCCATCTCGATCCGATCCGCGGCCGTGACACCCACGTCATCGGCGCTCGAACCGAGACGGCTGTCAGGTACAGGTGGCGCCACGTAGCGGCACGTGGCCCTAGGTGGCGGTGACACCCACATCATCGGCGCTCGAACCGAGACGGCTGCCAGGTATAGGTGGCGCTACGAAGCGGCACGCGGCCCTAGGTGGCGTGACACCCACCTCATCGGCGCTCGAACCCAGACGGCTGCCTGGTATAGGTGGCGCTACGTAGCGGCACTTGGCGCTAGGTGGCGGTGACACCCACGTCACCGGCGCTCGAACCGAGACGGCTGCCAGGTATAGGTGGCGCTACGATCCAGTCGGATTCTATCGTTGGGGTGATTTCCCTCGGCGCTCTGATAAGGCCGTCCGCCAGGGATAGATGGCCCCAAGAATGAGTGGCATTTGGCCTGGGCGGCTCTGGCACCACGGTTTGGCCTGGCTTGCAAAAGCCCCTCAGCGACGGCTGGATGACTGCAGGGATGGCCCTTCTCACAGGACTTTTTTCTGGAAACCGAGTCCTGGTTCCTGACTTCAGAACCAAGAACAAATCATCAACACGTTTGGAGGTAGTCGAGTGACTCAACAAGAGCCAAAACGCAGCCGTGCATTTTGCCGAGGAAACCAGCAGAAGCCAGGGTCCAGGCAGACTGCAAACTGATATACCTAGCAATCGAAATTTTGTGTTGAGAACTCCTGAGATTAAGCACGAACCGAGATACAGTTAGGTATTAGTCAAGGAATCTGGGAAAAATTAAACCTAGCCTGGAACGATTTGAAGGACCCAACAACAGGACTCAACAGCAGCCAGGTTTTGTCAGGGATTCTTGGCAGGAACCACTGCTTATGGGTCCAC